CCCCAAAACCCCAAAACCCCAAAACCCCTAGATACTCGATTTTCATTGAAATGCAATTAATATATTTCATGAATAACAAAATGACGGTGAAATGTCCTGGCTGGGACTACGTTCGTAAACTTGGTGATGGTGGATACTGTAAGTCCTCAGCCTTCGTATTAAATTCATGCCTAATGTTGCGATATTTCTAAAGTTGGAATATTCGAGAATTCTTTCATAAAAGAGACTGTTCTAGATATATTTTACAATAATTTTTAACTAATCATTGCCATAGCAGAAGGAATTTATGAAATTATCAGTCAGGACCAAAATCTATCTGGAGCAATGAAAGTGGTAAGCCTTTATAAAATTCCATCGGCAAAACTAAGCGAATTGCAACAATTTAGAGTGAGAAAATGAAAAATTGAAAGTAGAACTCGAAATACTCACCAAACTTAATAATTGTTTCTCTCATGAAAAAGCTATTATAGAATCCTAAAAATTTAGGATTTCCACGGATTATAAAATATTGTTTTTGTCAGACACACAAGACTACCTTATACTTAGCCTCCATGGGGCACGATGGAGGATTTAAAAGTGCTAAAATTTGACTACACCTAAGAATTCTAGGAAAGCTTCACTTCTGTGTACTCGGATAAAGACTATTTTGATATAAACCTCGCTATTGAGCAGTAGATCATAAAATTTCTGCTGAAGCTTCACACTCTGGGTATGTCCAAGATGATATTAAGCCAGGAAATATCCCAAATGACTCTAACAAGAATAAGTTCTGATTCGTTCTAATTAATTTCGGAATTTCATTAGCGTATCTAGATATCAAAAGTATGCCCTTATTTCGTCATAATTAGATTAATTTGCTTGTCTATTCAAATAAGGCACTCCAGTCCATCCAAGAAATCACCTTGCACATGAAAGGTTCTCTTTTGAGGGCTGTCATTAAAACTATCAATATTTGCCATCTACTTGTTAAAATAAAATATATTATCAACAAACTCTCAAAAATTGGGGTTTTGGGGTTTTGGGGTTTTGGGG